AAATTATCCAGGTCACTCTCTTGGTTTGTTATTTGTATATCCCTTTAATTATTAAGACATCAGCCAGTTTCTTTTGTATGTCCAGTGTAGTACCTTTTTCCATATCATTCTTGTATCCTGTCATTTTTACATCCACTTTCAGATCTGTCTCAATCTTATCAGATATAACTTGTTCTATCTACAGAGGTAGACGCTCTTAAAATTAACATCTGAGTCCATTGTTCAAATATATCCTTCAGTATGTCCAATGTTAAAATATTTTGCTTCGTTCTGTATTAGTAAGTCAAATTTAAGTGTTTTCCTCCTTTAACTGTCTTCTTTAGTTCCTTCTGGTCCCTCTATGTCCAACCTTCAAAGTCTCATCCTGTCACATTTTTTAAAAAGAGAATTCAAAACAAAAGCATTTTCCTATGGGAAGGATTCTTACAATTAATTCCAAAATCTCATTTCAAATCCATCTGGACCCTTAGTCCATTTGTAACTTTCCACAATCAAAGTTATAATCCCCCTTTTGCTGTTTATTCCAAAACAATTTTTTAAAGTCCTTAGACTTGTATTTAAAACTTCTTTCACTAAAGACTGAAGGAAACTCACCAGGTGCTGTAAAAGTTGTCAATCCAAATGTTCCTAATAGCTGAAAAGCAGTTAACAAGCAATTTCCAAAAGTGATTAGAAAAGGGAGTATGTAAACTTAGTGTCCTTTCAAAGGTGCCAACCATGGTTTGAGTGCTAAACCTGCCAGAGACTGCTGTCTTGTGGTCTCCTTGTGAGGAGCAGTTGTCTGGAGCACTTCTGGGTGATCGCCAATCCTCTCCTTGTCTAAAGAGGAATTATGAAGAGCCAATCTACTGGCTGACTCTTCATTCTGCCGCAATCATCGTCCCTGCTTTTAGCGGAGCTGTCTTCAGTTCACCATTTCTTCCTCGGAAATGCCGAGAAGAAGGTATTTCTATGAGTTTAATTACTAGTATTTTAATTACTAATATTACTGGTAGGAATCAGGTCGACAACTTTACTCTTTTTATATACTTAAGGGCAACCTGCTTCACCCAACCTGCTCTCTGCCTAAAAATAAAATCCAAGCTCCATAGGTAGAAAGACACAGAAGCCTAATCTGATTCCAATTCTAGCAAATGTATAATACTCCCCTGAAACTGGTGTAATTGGGGTTTAGCTGACATCCAACTCTATACACCATAGCTCTGGTGCCAGATATACTGTGATCATATTCTTCAACTCAGAGTTGATTCAACTAGACCCCCATCGGAAGTTCATTGGGTATGTGTACTTGTCTCTTTCTCCCATATAACTAATTTGTGGCAACTCATACCCTTAAAGACTCAATGAGCAAATCTCTCAGCTTACTTGGATGGAGGAGGGGGGCAGTCCTAAGGTATGAAAAGATTTTAGGGTCGAGATGCAGAACATTTACAAAAACTAAAAAGTATGCAGAAAATCTTCATAGTTAAAGCCAACCACTGATAAATTTGCCTTCCTCAGCTGCAAGGACTACATAAAGTGAACAGATCAGCAAAACCACCAAGTGTTTGTGTTTATCAACTGCCTTAAAGCAGAGTAACACCAAGAAATTGTTGCTCTTATCTTTCAAATACTTTTCAGTTGCTTATTAAGCTTAGTAGCAGCCAAGTTATCCAGGTGGTTGTATATCTGGTCTCAACAGCTTGGTAGGGCTTATTGTGGTTGAGCTATCTCCAACTATAGCAAAATGTGAGCGCGTATACTGAACGCTAGTGCTCAGTTAAGTGTAACTTTGTCTAGTGTACTATTTTGCACAAGTCTTAACATAAGAATCTGAGCATATCCACTGTTGTTTTTAAGTGCAGCACTTATAGTTGATGTACTATCTGATTCTTATCCTGCCTTCCTATGTAGCAGGAACTTAAGGCAATTAATACAATGTAAATACAAAGCAGGAAAGGAGGAGTCCCATACACACACACACACACACACACACACACATAAACCAATACACACACATTCTGCATATTTGAAATATATATATAAAGTGTCACCTCCTCTGTTTACTTCCGAAGGAATTGAAGGTGCCATCATATTGGTATCCATTGGCTGTGAACCATCCTGGGTCATCTGATCTTCTGGAGGTAGGTAAGCAGGAGGGGGAGTATCAGCTAAAGTGAAACAAAATACTGTTATTTCTCTTTGTGCTAATCCATTTTTCATTTTATGGAAAGTGTTAAGCTAAGTCAAACTACCAGCTACTTATAAAAATAGGAGAAAAACATCCATTTCTGACCCATCTGTGTTAACAAGGCTAATACAAAAATTATTACTCTTTGATTAATGAATTATGCTTAGGTTTTCTTTTCCTTGAGGGAATTAGGTTTGGGAAAGTTTTGAAGCAAACAGATCAAATCACTATATGTGGGAAAGAAGGTTAGAGAAAATAATCTGCGCAGAGGTCATCTTTTCCAATAAACTGCCCAGAGTCGCTCTGCAGTGAGATGGGTGGTGACAAATTTGAAATATAAATAAATATTTATCAGCAGACAGATACTACAATCTAGTACACAGCAAGAAACATTTGTCTTAAGGACAACTTATTGCTGATGGCATGAAGATTTAATAAACAGTGGAGGCAAAGGACATCAGTGTAAGGCTTACTTTTAATACTACTGGTTTGCAGCCACAGGTATTTCTATTTTATTTTTATGCTAAAAACATTGCCCTGATGCTTATTTCTAACATTCCCTTAAGCCAAGGGTATGCTATTGTCAACTTAGCACACCCTCAGGTTTCAATACCCAAAATGTAGAAACAAAATTTGTGGGAACTAAGCATTTATTTACCGGGGGTGGGGTGGGGAGTTACCATTCTACCATCTTAGGAAAGGGACACAGACACATTCCCAGGACAGTGATTTCATGTCATTCTTGTTTACCTATTTTTTCTATAAGGAACACCCTTTGCTTTTAAGGTGGCTAAACAAAGTTATAGCTCCTTTCTGAAACAATGAAAAATATAATGCTAAGAGTGCATATATTATGGCATTATTGACTACTGCCCTTTTATAGTCACTTAAATCCAGTTTCTGGAGATTCCAAGACTAAATCACAGTTTAGTAGAAGCAGCTAAGTGTGTTTTTTTTCTTCATTAACTGGGAACAGAAGTGCAAAATAGTTTAAATAATAATTTAAATTATTATTCAAGTCATAAAACTATTTCTGACTTGAATAATAATTTAAAACGCATTAAAATAATGCAAAACTCTATAATCCAATTATGAATGCTCACATTACCAACTAAAACTTCTTTTTTTGAAGTAAAGAACTTGATGATCTACCTTCAAACAATTGGTGGGCCTGGAACACATTAATGGCTCATGATCTTGTGAGACATGTTCTCAGCTTTAATTAAGCACAAATATCTTGGCTGTATACAGCAAATGCCAGCATATAACTTCATCCTATATCCTCTCATGATTGAAAGAAAGCCATCTATATGGGATGCTATATATTTTTACAGTTACTCTGTAGACTCAACAAAGCCTATGTAATACTAGTTACGGAAAATTGAGGTAAAAAAGAAAAAAAAAAAAAAAAAGAGTGTGTCCTGGCCATGAGGATGGCAGTCTGAGCAAAGCAAGGCCAGAACCTATCCTACCAGAAGGAACATCCAAATCCTTTCTTGTTCTGCTTCTGGAATGTGAGGATATATCCATTTCAGAATGCCTTGGTTCCAACTGCAGAAAAATGATGTAGCTACTAGAATGCATATTTTATCAAAAATTCTGGGAACATTTTATTAGCTTAACGAATGCGCTAAAAACACTGAAATGTAATCCCTTTCATTTCCACTCTTTGCCCCTTGCTAACCAATGTGCTGTCCCAAAACCATTCTCAATGCTGAGAAGCTGCTGCTGAGGCTTCTCAGAGGAAGCTTACCTGGCATCTGAAAAGGGCTTCCTGGGTCAGAGCTGGCAGGTGAATGAGGGTAGGTGCCACTGCTGCTTCCAGGGGAATTTGGATAGCTACTGTTTGGTGAATGGGGGAATGGGTGACTGTTGGGTTGCTGGAAAGAGTCTGGAAAAGTAGCATTATGCGGCATATGAGGCTCGTTTTGTCCCAAGTTGCGAAATTGAGCCAGGAGACTGTGCTGAGGGTTGTATTCACTGTGTCTAGGAACAAGCACAGGAGGAAGAACTGGAAAGGAAAGAGAAAGGGAAGGCTGAAGACAAGTTTACTTTATAGCTGAACATTTATAATTTCACTCGCAGTTAATGAGGAACTCATATTTTAGGAACAAGCAGGTCTAAGCAACAATATTTCCTTGTGTCTAGTTACTACATAACTTAAATTCTTGGTGGATGCACTGACTGCCGGGGTCCCAAAGCTAGACATTCAGTTTTCACAGCAGCTGGGAGAAAGGTGCTTAGATTTGCAGGCAAAGTGGGGAGAACAGTGAAGAGACAGACCATGCTGCTTGTGCATTCTGTTCTGAAAACCAAGAACCCAAGGATCTGATGCCATATATTTAGTTCAGTTTTGCACTTAATGCTTACTAAGTTATAACTTTTCCAATGAAGAAACACTTTTGAAGGCAATGTAAATTTTACACAGGCTGTCAACGAACTAAGAAACAACAACTGAAAGTTTATTTTTAGATTAAGCAATGTGTAGAAGGCTAATATTAAAATAATACTCATTAACTCTAGGCCAAATTGCTTTATTTTGGGGAGAAGTTTAAATATTCTTCCATTCAGCTGATGTGAGCAAATGGAGACACCACTGGCACACAGCTCAGGACTAGAACTGGTATGTCTAAGGGCATGTAAACAGACATCCATTACAACATTAAAAATGTGAAATTAAGTACCACCATTTGTGTGAACATTAGAGCTATCCTACTCTGTTCAAGTTTGTTAACTTGGCAGCTAAATTCCATCAGCTTCCATGGAATGTATTGTACAGGATTTTATTCCATTCTTATAATATCTCTACTTCCGAAAAACCGACTAAGTGCACATCTCTCAGTTCTACAGATTAGGCTGGAGAAGGAATTGAAGTTGCACTGGGATTCACAACAGAGAAAAGCAGCAAGGATGACCTATCCTCACTTTCCTCATTTTCAGCTCCCAAAGCTGGACAAATGTATACAAGGTATGTATACAAATGTATACACTTTAACATGTGGAGAGTAGTAGGGTATTGGCATCCATGAATTTAGGCTTAGCTGCTAAAGGTGCTAGTTGAACCCTCTGGAGAGAAATACTGCAAAAATAGGACACCACCAACAAAATGATTCTTCTCCAACACTACCTACCCTACCTCAGGAAGTAGAGCAACGTGGACAACAAAACCCAGGGTAAGACTTGTAAATGGGACTGATTACTTATATCCATGATACAGGACAAAAATTGCAGGAATTTAGAGGAAGCCCGTCTCTACTGTAAAGCAATTAAACCTAGAATAGTTCAGGTTTAGGTTTATTCCATTATTTGTGACTTATATCCCACTTTTCCTCTTTTTGAGTCAACATACATAGTGCTCCCTTCCTTCTCCAATTTTTTACTCACAACAACCAAGGTAGGTAAATAGGGCTGAGACAAGTCACCAAGGAAGACTGATGACAGAATGTGCATTTGAACCTACGTTTCCCTAGGCCTGGTAATATTACATCACAGTGAAACAATCAGATTTTTCCACCTTCTCTAATGTTTAAGCAAACGCATGCAAGACATTTCAAGTCATGTAATTTTATCAAATTTCTACATAGGCTGGAAGAGAATCTGCAGTGTGCTTATAATACAGCCACTTCTTTTGGATTTCTAATCAGACTTTCCAAGGGCATAAAGACACTGGACTCTCCACATAAAGTACAGACAAAGGGCAGGAATAAGGGAAAGCATCACCTCTGGCATATCTTTCCCATAATAGCTCATGCAGATTATGTCACTAATTTCAGGCTCCACTATTATGCTGTATAGCATCATGTTTCCCCTTCACAAAAAACTAATTTACGAAGATCCTAGGTAAGACCATTTAAAATCTCCATGAAGTATGCATTCAGAAGAATTAATAAATGGGAAGATAGGCCTAACGGGCATAAACTTTAATATGGACCAGGCCTAAGAGATTGACCTGGGTGCCATGATAGCATCTTTGAAGTAAAGTACAGTTCCATCTACAGGCTTCAATGAACCAGTTCATATGCTATGCTAAACTTTAATTTCTCTGAATTTGGTTAAACATTATGAGTGACCCCAACTATAAGTGAATCCAAACATTTGTAAACCATTGCTTATGGTTTCGTATCTTATGTAAACTCCAATTGTGGTTTATGCAATAAACCAGGGAAGTTGTTTGAACTAGATCAGTGATGGTAACTGTATTCAGGGAAATATATATTTTTAAATTGTAAAGCTTGATCGGGTTCAGAATCTTCACTACAGAAAATAAAGGGCTAAAAATGCACATAGCAGGGGAGAACACTGATTTTCAGAAGTTGCTGCCAGCCCAAGGGAAGAGATATAATTGAAGAGACAGCATGAGACTTCTGCTGTGTTGAGCCAAGCACACCTGTTGTCACAAAGCAAACAAGAGGCCCACATCTGCTCTTTGGAGAGGCTGTGAGCCCCTGGAGGGTAAAGCTGTAGAGGTGTTAACTCTTGCCTAGACTAAAGCAAATGCTTTACTGTATAAAGCACTGTTATATCTTGGACTTAAGCAGTCCTCTGGAGATCTGCATTTTCCAAATGTGAACTTCCAGAATTCTCAATTGGTGGATATGCAAGCTAGGAATTTAGGAAACTGTTTCCAATGGAACTATAATACACCAGGTTATGAAATACTGACCCAGAGCAACTCTGTAGCTGGTTAGGTTTGCCTTCGTTTATCTAGTATGGGTTAGAAATCAAAACAGCCTTTTTTTGTACTGCCAAAATACAAAATCTTTACAGTGTTTTGGCTCATTCACAAGCATGCTAATTTCTTTTCCTTGACTCATTCTTTCTATCCTTCTGAAGAATGTAAGGCACACATGGTAATAGACCATATGCATACCTCACTGCTCTATTATATTAGGGATTAATTGCAGAGCTGATCTATTGATAGGATTTCTATAGTCAGCCTACAATTTCTTTGAAGATAATGGATGACCTTATTTACATGATTAAATTAATGTGTAAGTTTAAGTAATTTAAATCAAATTCATGAAACATACATTGATTTTACTAATCCCCATATATTTAACATTTGCCCCATACTGCAAGTTACAATTTGGAAACAATCTTTGGAAGTGCTATGACAAAGATGTCCAATCACTGGAAATTTAACATTACAAATGCAACAAAATGAGGCATATATGGTCTTTATTTTAAGCTTTATTTTAAGCTACCAAAAAAGTGGCAACTCTTTACAAGAGATGGTTGCCAGCTGAAAGAGCCAAGGCTTCGGGGCTTTCTTAAAGGACAGCAGATTCAGAGCTGTGCAGACCTCAGGGGGAATGCTCTTCCAGAAGGCAGGGGTAGACACAAATAACGCTATCCCTGCCTTCTTTGATGGGACCAGGAACATGCCAGATCTTAAGAGATGGGCAGAAGCAATTGGAGAAAGGTGGTCTGGAGTGTGGATTCACCTGACAATAAGCACTTGAATTGCACCCCAAAGCCAGCTGGTAACTAGTAGATATATCATAACTACTTGTGTCGTCCCATTCTGGACCAGTTGTGGCTTCCCAATGGGAAGTGTCAACATTTGTTCAGCATTGCTGGATCCAGAGATGGTTTCTTGAGGAGGGAACATATCACCATCTTCTTCAAGGCAAACAGTACCAACCCTTTATTCAAGGATGAATTTACCACTGCTTGAACCCAGGTGGCCTTAACCAACTAGAAAGGACACAGTTCTATCATGCAGATGCTGGCACACACAGCCTCAAGAACCCTGTCCACTTCCTTGATGCTTAACCTCCTCCTAGATAATAGGGCAGTACTGTGGCTCTGCTAACTCAGTAGGATCTGCCCAGCCAGAATATAATTTGGAATGAATCCAAGTAATTATATCTGTCAATGCCTAAAATATTCCTGCATAGCAACCCTTCAGATGTTTTTCCTACAGCCTCTTGCCTAAAAGGATCTGGATTATCTTAGGGTCAGTAGTCAGCAATCTGCAGATGCAGTAAGATTGGAAAAATAGCTGCATTTTGCTGCACTTATTGCTATAGCATAGGCCCTAATATAGGCTTTTACATTTGTTCTTTTGGGCTCCATTTTTCTCCAGCGGTAGCTCTAGGTGTCTTTTCTGATGTTTCATCTCCCACAGCATCTCTAAGAATCACTGAATCCCCAGGGATCAGCGTACAGAGAGGCCACTCAAGCGCAATTCTGTCCAAGGCAACAATTACCCCACTTTCCCATTCCAGGAGGTAACTAAGGCCTCAGTTAAGCTACCCACAAGAGCTCCAGGAAACACCCCAAGTGCCCTCTGGAAACCAGGAGCCTAGAACGAACCAATCAAACAGGTCATTCTTTGGGGGGAAGGGGCAGAAAGCTCTAGAATAGTGGTCCCCAACTCTTTAGCTCATCAACCCCTTCATGAAGTTCAGATTGTTCATCGCCCCCCAAACATTTATTATATGAAAATAATTTAATAAATACTACTTAATAGTACTACTAACAACAACAACAACAATGGATAGTTCCATTGACCCTTGGTGGTCAATATTGACCACTTTAGAGAACCCTGTTCTAGAACAACTAGAGAGTGATCTGATCATGACATGGGACAGATATTAATGTCCCCCACCCTCAAATCACATTACAACTGCTCTGAGACAAACAGATCTAATGTGTGACCACCCCTCAGGCCCAGCCCAAGAACAACAGTGAAACAGTCCAGTTGAGTCAAATTCCTTTATTTGCTATATCTTATAGACAGAATCTTGCCAGATAAAATCTATACTACTACAACAAGTGGATATACCCTGGGAGATGGCTATACTGAACTTCTTTTGCTTCCCATGCTCCTCCTGTGGACTGTGTTGTCTTTTGTCTCTTTTCCCTTCCTGGAATGCACCCCCTCCTTTTTTGTAGATACATTCCATCACACCACCTACTATGTTTTACCTAGTATGATATGCAAAAACCATACATTATGATTTAGTGTTATGTGTGAACCAGATTATATTTTGTCCAACAAATAATAATTTAAAAAAACCTTCTGATTTTGCTTTATGTATAAATGTGGGCTCCCAAGTGATCTTAGTTATTACTGGATGTGTACAGAAATACTTCCGGCATTACAAAATTATAAACACAAGAGCAAATTCCTGCACAATGCCCTTCTTGCCAACTCCAAATGAAAATATGTATTATGTGACATATTTGTATACATACATACATACATACATACATAATAAATAAGCGTGCAGGCATACACTGGTATCAGAAGCTACATTTCAAAAAAGGGCAAGATGTTTTAAAAAAATGGTATTAACTGAATAAGTATTGATCAAAAATGTTTACCAGTAAAATAAGGTATCCCATTTATAAAATGAATTAATTTCCATTTGACTATAGCAACCATTCTTTCTTATATGCATAAATTTTGCACCATCCCACAGCATTTCCCTCCTACTTCCAAGCTGAAACAACAGGAAGAGGATTTTTCTAATGGGGCAAGGTGGCTGCCTTGGGAAGGGAAGGAAAGAAAAAGGCTAGACAGATAAAGAACAGTTTCAAAAAGCCCTAAAAATCACCAGGCAAGGCACAACTAGCTAATCTTTGCACATCATGCCTGTTCCCCATTTCATGGATAATGGTTTTAGAGAAATGGATCCTTTCTTCAAAAGTAGCTGAGAGTACTTTTGAACCTTTGCTATCTTAATGCTCATCCTCTTTTTCTATCCACACAACTGAGACCACCTAAAAATAAAGCCGATTGCAAGGAGTCCAGCAGACTGTTGACTTACTCCATCTATCTACTCTCCCAGTCAAACTTTGCTGTCTGATCAAAAATGGACTACAAAGGCCAAATTGAGTTCCTCCTGAGTCCTGACGTATTCTATATTAATAGGTTGTATAAGGGGAAAATGTTATACAAAGTACTACATGTGAATATCTTTTTTCACTTACAGATAGTCCTCACTTAACAACCACTTGTTCAGTGACCGTTTTACGTTACAATGGTGCTAAGTGAGACTTAGAAGTGGCCCACGTAGTTGCGGCCATTGCACCATCGCATGGTCGCGATTCCGGCACTTGGCAACCGGCTCGTAATTACAACAGTTACAGTGTCCCATGGTCATGTGATTGCTATTTGTGACCTTCACTGCTGACTTCTGACAAGCAAAGTCAATGGGGAAGCCAACAGGAGGTCGCAAATGGTGATCACGTGACATTGCACTTAACAACTTTGTGGGATTCACTTAATGATGGCAACTGGAACTGCTGCAACTACTGTCATAAGTTGGTGTGATCACATGACATCACACTTTACAACCACGTCGCTGGTCCCAATTATCATCTTTAAGTGAGAACTACCTGTATTTTCAATATTATCAGCAATTTGTTAGCTGCAACTTACTGATCTCTGAGGGACAAAGCTTCTTAATTAGGACTGAAGGTACATTAATGAAAGAAAATTTAACTTATCAGCTGGCTACACAAATACTACAACCACAACATGTTCTGAACTTAGTACACACAAGTCTACCCCCTTCATTTTAATTTTGCTTAAAATGTTGCTTAAATAACCAATATAAATACACTATGAGTTCACTTACGGTGTTTAGGTAGTTTACACATTGCTGTGAAGTATATGGAACACAAGGCCCACATATAAACAAATGTATGACTTACAAATATGTGACCATGAAGTTTCATCATATACTCAAAGGGCTAGTCACATGTCATCCTGTTTAATTCTTTAGTATGGGCTGAGGCTAAAATAATCACTATCTCTCTGAAAAGCCAAACTATTTCAAGTTAGACAAGACTGCACAGCCATATCCAAGTATCATAGCATAATCCATCAACATAAAACCATCAACAGCTTCACAGATACACACAGGGCAAAGGCAAGGAATTACTAAATATTTCTCAGTCCATCTTTCCTTTTCATAGTTCATATTCTCTTGTAATAGGCAGGTTCAGTATGACAGAGATAAAGTTTCCTCTGGCTTTTTAGAAGTTTGGAGTTTTTTTTTTTTATACTTTTGACCAGTGTATCTTGTTGGAATGTGAAGAATCATGCACCTGTTTCACATATCACACTATGCCATGGTTTGTTGAATAAGCCACAACTGACTGAGTTCACATACTATATGAAATCATACCCAAAAGCTGTACATATTTTTGTTTTGGTATGATGTGTGAATCCAGGCTTGGATTTGATTCAAATACCTACTGTGGTAGTTGTTCCAGCAGCAAGATTAATACTGAAAACTGGTGTTTTAACTAGGAAACTGGTTTCAAACATTTTAGGAGGATTAATTCAGGACTTCAGCAATAATTATCAGAATACTGGTACATCATGCAAACAATAATTGTGATGTATGCTGCAAAGCTGAAAAGGCAGCTTTTAATATAAATATTACAAACTATAGAACTATTTGAAGGGGCATCAGCTTGCATATATCACAAGAGGAAAATCTGTTTGAAAACTGTTCTAATTAATCATCACAGTTGACTATCAGAGCTATAACAGCAAATCAAGAACACTGATTTAATAGATTTAAAAAACTGGATACTCAAGACAGACACATTCAGAATAAAGGATGATTTCCCACAAATGTTCATTTGTGAAAATCACATCAAGAAAGAACATGTGCTCATATACAGATAATCCCCAGCAAAACATTGGCATCTTCTGGAAGGATTGGAAATTCCTACCTGACATTCAAAAGAGGTGCTACTGTACAAGCTCTGACATTATCAGACTCAATGGGCCAATAGTTTACCCTAACACGATGCCTTCCTCTGTTGTTATGTCATAACATAACAAACAAACATTTTGAGGAAATCTAAAGGCCCTTATTTCTGGGTTCTTTTTCTTTAAATTGCTTCTTCTTACAAACATTTGGGTGGGAACTTTGTGTTTTGTTTTTAAAAAGAGACTGCTCTCATTTTTGCCTCAGCAATTCAGAACATACTTTGTTGCACATATCGGTCAAGGACAAACAGAACAAAAAAAATTGCCTCATCATCCCATCACAAAATTAAACTAACTAACTCCAAGGACAGAAGATTCATTCCTCTAAGTGCCCAGTTGGACAGATCCAAAGAACCACAACAAGCAGAAGTCAACACGTAAAAGTATTCAGATATAATTTTTCTCAATCGGTCTCTAAATGTGTTGGGATTGAGACTCCTGAGTTCTGATCCCAATACTTTAGTGTTACGTTGCATTCTAATTATGCAAAGGCACAAGTTTGGGAAATGCTATCACAGGTTATTAATATACACAAGAAAAACAGATGCCTACTATCTTCAAGTTACAACCTACCTCATAGGGCTGTTGCTGTGGGGAAAAATAGAAAGAGGGAGTGATATATATACTACACTGCACTCCTGAATGAAAGGTGAGATATAACTCTATTAAATAAATAGAGCACACAGTAGTCAAGGTTTGCAAAATTCCAAAGTTAACAGAACACAGGGATTTTAGAACCACCACCACCACTACTAGCTAGTTGCTCAGATGGGTTCTGGCTAGAAAAAAAATAGGTTCAATCCTGAGTTCTTAGACCTCTTTTACTTTTCACTCAGGTATGAAAAGTTGTCCTCTAATGTGGAAAGAACATTAATATGGCACATGCACATTCCAAGTAGATTTTCTATTTTTCTTTATATCACTTGACACTTGTTTCCTTCAACATTTGCTTGCACAACACCCAAAGATTCCAACAATTTATGAAGAGCTTAATTTGCTGGATTCTTCAATATCATCAAACTGCTAAGGTAACCCAGAAATGAAGATAAAAATTAAGTCTGAATCCAATTAATATGCAACATTCCATAAGTTTCACACATTATTTCAACAAATGAAGTAAATTGCTCATGACTTCCATGTGCAATATAATCCTAGGACCAAAAGGATCTCTTTCAAATCATCTATGTCTTAGAAATGCAGCTAGGGCACACCTAGATTTATCCATTTGAACCATTAACCTAAAAATGCTGAAAATAGGATACTATTTGGGGAGATATACCCAAGTTATTACCCACCTACTTAAAAATGTAGTACATGATATATGACATGCCAAGAATTTAAGCCTCTGAATAACTGAAAAATTTATTCTGCCTTGCAAACAATATGAAGTATTTTGTGTAGAATGGCTTCCTAAAGACTTTGCAAAACAAAAACATTAAGATTAGAATCGACATTAATAGTGCCCAATGAGCTATGATGTCCTCATTACATCATTTACACTTAGTCTTTTCTATTCCTTTTAGTAGAGCTATTTAAACAAGTTATGCTTACATCAGATACAAAAGCACATTTAATATGCCGGGTAGATTTGGCATCATCTTTAAGCTATGATACTTTTGTATACATAGTACACAAATAGTCTAATATAGTCAATTATAGTTGGCTGTTACAGACATGCCTGTGCAAGACCCTTCTTTCCGACCATTGTGTGGGAGTGTTTGCCAACTGACAGCAAGCTTCCTCCATCATTTCTTCTTCCTCCTGTAACCACATATATGCAGCAGTCTATCAGGAAGCAGTCTGACAAAGGGTGGCCTCTCCAAGCTTTGAATTGCCCATTAAAGTTCCGCCTGCCTTCAACAGAGTCGAGCTGTCTCAATTTCCAACTGACTTACCAGACTGCTTTCAAAGACTAGCAGTCTCTCCTCTTGGTTTCAGAAACACAGTAACAAGAGTGTTTCAACAATTCAAGCACTCCTTACTGTTGTGACCTATAATACAATTCTTTAAATCTGGTAACAGTTTCTATAATACTGTTTCCCAATTTACCACAAATCTTCAGACATTGTGTAAATAAGTTTTACACATTAGTTTGGTGGTTATTTCTTATAAACCAAAAATATGTTTAAAACTAGACCCACTCAGTATATCTTACACAGTCTTTTCTGTAAGCTTTCAGAAGGCTTTCCCCAAATGAAGTGGCAGATGTTTAAAAGAACTGATTCATCCAAATCTAATTTGGAAATCAGTACTCACGGCAGTATCACCCAAGCAAAAGGCATTGATGAAAATCATACATTGGCGCATTTGTATTTCCATTCCCTCTCCCACAAGACAAGTGCCGTAACTACCTTAGGGAAGCTTTAAAAGGAAGTCAAAGTGTTTGTAACAAGAAATTACTGCTATCATGCACAATTCCAGCCACTTTTAAAGAGCTAAATATGAAGTACCTCAAGCCTACCTGAGTACTTGAACAAATGTACATGTAGTAAATTGTTACTTTATTACAGTTGAATAGTGGTAGAGTAAGAAAAAGTAAAATCTACACCTGTTTAATTATCCCACTTAGTGCTATTGACTTGTTAAAAGTAATTGTAGCTGAGTTAAAAGTAATTGTAGATGAGGAGGAAAGGGGAAATGGACATATAATAAAATTACTTACCTGGGCTTTCCACTCGTTTGTAATGATAGGGATTGATGCAGACTTCCTTCTGTTTTGAACCAAAGGGAAACTCACAGCATTCCAATGGTTTAAGTTCATGATGGCTCTGAAGATCGGGCCAGCGCCACACACGACAGTAAATTACATGAGGAAGTCCCTTGCGATGAGACACCTGAAGTCTGCCATCTAAGGAACGAGGAATTGTAACACAGTTGCTTGGCTGACCAGGACAACTTAATGCCTTTTCCAGCTCTTCCATTGCTCCTTTTTTCTTCTTAAGTTTTTTAACTAAGGCATCAACAGCTTTCTCTGCCCACTTTTCCTCTTCATCCCCTTGCTTCCACCCCAGCAGTCTTTTAACAGCTGGGCTTGTGAAGGAGAACAAGCTTGTCACATTCATGGTGATTATTTAGAAGAAAAGTATCGGAGCACGATTTCTATGTTAACAAATCGTGTAACACCTTCCAGCAACTGTCCTGAACAAATTTAGATGATCTTTCCCAATTCTGAATTCTTGAAAAATGAACCCAACATTCCAGTCTGACAGATGCTTTTGGGGTTCCAGGTCTTAGCCAGGTACCTACAGAACATAACAGTGGAAGAAAAAAAAAAAACCAGAAACAAACTCTCTTTAACACAGTATAACTTTACCAAGACCAGATAGCATACCTTTTTTACTTCATTAGCAAAATCCAGGATCTGTTAGGACATTTTTGGTTATTACTGAATAAAGCATAGTGAAGGCTTCTCAGCTCTTTTCTATTATGAAATAAAGTCAGTTCTTCTACCCCTCATATATACATACCTCATTCAAAACAGCCTTTATAATTTTAGTCTAGATAGCAGCATGAGTGAAAAGTATAGGATGTGATTTCTATCAATCTTTGAAGTTGTTCAGCAGTTAATTAATCTGTGATCAGCTTATTAGCAATTCAGAATATTGATGGCTGGTATCCCACACCTGAATTTGTGTCCTAGAGTTTATAATCAAAAGTAATAAATTGTTACTGTCTGATCAACTATTAACTCTTTAATTTAGTCATACAGGCTTATAAAACTACCACTAATTATTAGAATGAATTCATTTTGTTATATTTGATGTTACTTATTATGAACTAGTCAGTAAGTTCTTAATCTTCCAATTAACCAGGAATTAGTACTAAAAATACACACACACACACACACACACAGAGTCTCTGTCTCACACCAACAGGTAAAAAGGCCTCAACAAGGATGCCTGATTAAAATGTACCTGCAGCATTTAAACAAAAAGTACAGTGCTTGTTCCAGAAATATGGTCTTTGTATATATTGGGATATATGATATACTTTAGAAAATACATATACAATTGATTGATTTTGTTACTTAATTTTAATGAGTTCTAATATAATCACATTGCTCAGAGAAGCTTGCACAATAAAATTCAGTAACAAAAAACTAGTATAACTGATGATCTATAGCTAAGATGATTTTATTAGAAACAAGAAACAAGTAATCTGGTAGACTAAATGCTTGTCAGAAATAGGAAGTGTTGAAATTCAGTCTACCTGAGTGAGAAAATCTGTGTTCCATAGGAAAGAGCAGGATAAATTAGCAGGAACATAGTCAGAAAATACTTATTTATTCTCAAGAAGCCTAAATCTCTAGAGCCAGATGAACTGCATCCTAGGGTACTGAAGGAACTAACATATGGTCTGGCTGAACACACATATTATCTTTAAGAAATCCTGGAGAACTAGTGAAGTGCCAGATGACTGGTGTCTTTGTCTTCAAAGAACAGAAAAAAGCAGGAAACTACAGACCAGATATTCTGACACTGATACTTGGAAAAGTTCTACAGCAGATCATAAAGAGATTGATAGTAAGCACTTTGAAAACACTGCAATAGTTGCTTGGCAATTCTAACTCTGATCAAATTTTACCAGATTTACCTTATAGAGTCTAATAGATTGTAAGAATACTATAATTCCAGCAATGCATTTGACTAATTACCCCATGATCAGCAAGCGAGTTAAGGGTCAACTGGATGGCATGACAATTAAGTAAATACATAACTGACTCGTATTTTGGTGTATAATTTTCATCAATAGATTATCATCAAAATGGAAACCCACTGAGATTTGGTCCTGGTCTTGGTACTCTTCAATTTTTAAAATTATAATTTGTATAAAGAGGTGGCGGATATGCTCATCACATTTCCAGATAAAACAGAATTAAGTGGAGTAGGAAGTATTCTAAAAGGCAGGAATAAAATTCAAAATCTTCAGAGGTCAGAGAAATGAACTGAAAGTAACAATAAAAGGTACATGCAAAGTTCTTCATTTAGTCATCTGTCTGAGAAAAAAAAACAAACTTTTAGGCTGCATTAATAGAACTGTAGCTTCCAAAACTAACGAAGTATTAATTCCACTGTATTCAATGGTGATCAGATCTCACCTCAAGTACTGTGTCCCGTTCTACACACCATATTTAATAAGAATTCAAAGAAACTGCAAGAGGTTTAGGAGGGCAACAAGTATAATCAGTGGATAAGTCCTGTGAAAAGAGATTCAGGGAACCTGGCTTGATTAGCCCTGAGGAAGAACAATATAGCCTTCTATATTAAAGTCAAGCTAGGACAGACTGATGAATGTGGGAATTGAAAATAACTGTTTTGTCCATCCCTACCTCCAGTTGTCCTTGTTGCCTACTGTGAGGCCTAGGTACTGCTCACTGCCTCTTCCTGTCTATTCTAGTGAGTTCTGTGTACACTCTTAGTACAATAAAATCAAAGGCCCGGATATGGAACGGAAATGGCATTGGTCGCACTTATGGATGACCTCTGGCGGGAGCGGGATGGTGGAAGTGCAACCATCCTTGCTCTCCTTGATCTCTCAACGGCTTTTGATACCATCGACCACGGTATCCTGTTGGGACGGCTCAGGGAATTGGGGGTGGGTAGCACGGTCTTGTGCTGGTTCACCTCCTTTCTCTGGGGCCGATCCCAATTGGTGGTGATAGGGAGAGGTCCCATCCTCGGCCCCTCCTTTGTGGGGTGCCACAGGGTTCAGTTCTCTCTCCGCCCCTTTTCATGAAACTGCTGGGCAAGATCATCTGTCATCATGGGATGAGGTATCATCAGTATGCTGATGATACGCAGCTATACAT